GCTACCACTAGCAGGCAGGGAAGATTGGATAGGCCAGGGTCTGGATACCTGTGAATCTTGCTCATTGTGAGACTTTTTAGGGGAGACAAATGACTCTCCCCCAGCGATTTGTTTACGTCCTTATAAATTAGGCCTTCTGGTACATGCAGTCTAAATACATTTTCAACCGACATGGGGTGGGCAGGAGAGCCAGCAGAGGGCCGGCCGGCCAGCTGGTGGGACCATGGCTTGGATGAAGGTCCTTCCATTCTTAGCCTCCTGGCATCCTCCGATCGGTCGGTCTTCCACACCTTCACGCTTTCTGCATGCCAAGTTCAACACGTCTCTTGGCTTCAAATTCTTCCCTGCTGGCTCTCCACCCCCTGCTTGATACAAACTTAAGATTTTTCATCTCCACCGCCTACGCCCCGCCCACTATCGTGGGCCCCACGTGCTGTCCGCATCTTCTTCCACTGCATCCACCCTGACAACGTCCCACAGCCCTCCCCTGTACTGAGGGCCCCCCCATTGTCCGCTCCTGTCTCCACTCCAACCCCTCACCCCAAGAGGCGGCTGGGGCGAGTCTCCAACAAGGGCTGGGGGTCCAGAGTTCAACCCCGGTCTGGTTTCAGGGCAAACTGGAGATTCCTTTTCCGCAGCGGGCCGGCGACAGCAGGGCGGTCCAGGTGCCCCAGCAGCCCACCTGCGAGCCCCTGCTTTTCCTGCCGAGCAGGTGGGCTTCACGCTTAGCTCAGCTCTAGACCTCGTCTTCAGACTCAAAGCAGGAAGTAAGGGAAGGGCTCTTTTTCCGGCCATCATTTCTTAATAAAAAGCAAAAGCTTCCCTAAACACTCCCAGCAGGGGCCGCTTTGGCTGCTGTGCTGGCCGGGGTGGGGCTGAGGGAAGGCGGTCGTTCCTGTGGGCTCAGTCAACCCCATCCAACCACTGAACGAATCAGTTCTGTGAAGCAGGGGCAGGGGGTGCTTGGGGAGAAAGGAGGAGGGGCAGGCAACACAGGGTTTGTCCTCCACCCCCATCTTCCTCAGCCAAAGGGGAGCCCCTGAGATCCCCAGACAACCCCACCCTTTGTCCCCTTGTCTGCCTGGCACACACTTATTTGTCCATCATGTGCTGACTCTCTCCAGGAGGCCTGGTGTGTTTTCTTGCCCCTCCCCCTAGCTCGCATCTGTACTTCTCTCCTGGGTTCACACGGGGCCACGGCGACAATTCAGTGAAAAAGAGACTGTCAAGCAGATAACACGGTGGCTGCAATGATGTGACGGTGGCGGCGGATCGGGGCGTGGTCCCTTCTGTTGTGCAGGGGCTCACCGAGTCAGCCCTGACCCAGCCATGTTCAGCAACAGCACAGCCATTTGTGTGTCTGACTGCTCAGTCAGGCATGCACTCCCTCCCGCCACCAATGCTCACTGTGCACGTGCTGTGTAAGACCTCTGCTAGGAACCCTGCATTCCACAGCAAACAGGTTAATGTCCCCCTCAATGAGCTTCCAGTCTAGGAAGTGAGCTATTTGGAAAATGCTGAAAATGCTGCCCCATCAGGCCTGGGACAGCAGGATGTTGGAGACATGGGAGACACGCAGCTCAGCCTGAAACCTTGAAGCACCAGGGTGGGAAGTGGGAGCCATGAGATGCCTCCCCTGGCCCTGGGCCTCGGAGTATACCACGGAGCAGGTGCACTGCGGCCAGGACTGTTAACCCTGATCATCGATCATGGTTCAGGATGGCGGGGCTTTGAAATGCAATCCAATTCTCACTGTGGCAGGACCACTGCCTCCAGGAAGGGGCTGCTGCAGGCAGTCAGGCTCTTGGGCATCCTGACAGCCCCTCCGCTCTTCCCCACACGGGCAGCTTGTCCCAGGAAACGCTGAGAGTCTTGAATGTAACCCTTCACAGCAGAGGTCCTTCCGAGAAAGTTCTGTTTTCTGAAAGCTTCACCTGGCTCTTCTCAACAGGGCCCCTCAGCACGGGCTCCTCTACTGGCTCCCAGCCACAGCTCGTGGGCCAAGTCCTAACCCTGCTGTCCCCCACCAAGGTGAGGCAGGCGGAGACCTGGGCAGAAACAGCTCCTTCCGCGGCACTGCTGTTGCCATGGGGATGCTGCCCCAGACACAGGTGAGAGGTTCCTCAGGTCATGAGCATAGGGGGCTGGAGACAGCAGAGAGGCCTCAGACTTCCTGAGCACTAGGCTGGAGGAGGACCCCCGCCCCCCCAAGGCTATCTGATGACCCACCCCCATCTCTCAGCCAAAACTCCGATGAGGGACAGCTGCTTCCTAAACTCCTTTGGGAATGACATCCACAACTACCCCTCCTTTCCTGCCTCCCCCTGCCCCGTCCCCATCACTGGCTAGTCTCTCGGTTCACCATACGCATGACCCTGAATGGGTTTTTCCACGTCTAATCCCTGATCCCTGTCTCTCTTGCTGTCCTTCCTTCCCGCCCATTTCCTCTGAGTATTGCTTCCCTGGAAATAAAAGTTCATCATCACCGGCCAGAGAGTCGCCCAGAGGGAAGATGAGGAAAAACCCCAGGCCAGTGGGGGCTGAAGGGTGGAGTCTGCTTGGTCCTGTTCCTCCAGGGGCCTCCATCCCACTCTCTTCCTGCCAGCAGAGCAGCAGGGGCGGCCCTGGGAAGGCTGGGGCTGCAGGGGCAGGGCAGGCAGGGCTGTGTGCTTGCCCAGTGACCGGGCTGAGGCAGAGCCGGGCAGCACAGCCCCCAGGAAGGGAGTCCCCTTCTTGGGAGAGAAGCACAGTGCTGAGAGCAGGCAGAAGGGTGTTTAATGAGCCTCTTCAGGCAGAGCCCAGGACAGCTTGGGAATCCCACCCGGAGGGCAGGGCGACAAAGCGCTCCAGCTTCCAGATGACCCTGAAAGATAGAGATGGTTCTGCTAAATTAGGAGTGTGGCTTTTCCCTGCCTTGCCCTAAAGAGAGGGGTGGGGGGGCGCAAACAAAACCCAGCCTTCAAATTAATTTCCAAAATCCCCTCCCAGAAAATAGAATATGTGAGGGCTTGAATCGCACTGCCTGGTTTAAAGGCACAAGGTGCAGAGAAGTACCCAGGCCAAGATGCAAATGAGCCGGATAGAGCCCCCACCTCTTCTAGAAGCAAAGGGAAGCCCCCCCCCCCTCAGACCCTGAAAGAAAAGTACCTCCCCACCCCCGAACAAGAGCTGAAGACCCAGTCCCTGAACCACTCGCAGGTCACCAGAGGAACACAAAGGTCACTGCTGGCCATGGACAGGCTGGACAAAGCCCTGGCCACCCTTCACTATCCCCATCTCCCCCAAAAGGAGCGACAACAGGCCCAAAGTCTGGTTTAGATTTCTGATTAGTTCCTTACTGGCGGGCCAGTTACTCTCAGGGCCCAGATGCCTCACATGCTGCTGTGGGTTCAGGAGTGAAGGAGCCAAGCCCCAGCCTCCACGTGGTGAGGTCCGTACCTACCCCATTCCTGCCGGGGCTCTCCAGGCCGATGTGTGTGGGGGGTTCCTCATTAAGTCCCTTTCTTTTCCTTCATCAACTGCAGGCGAATCTTGTTGGGAAGTCTTGGATCCGTGAAATAGTCTGGGACAAGAACCAACAGGAAGAAAGCCTCTGGACCCGAAGGAAACAGCCTGCGGGGAGCCGCTCCTTCTAAGAAAACGAGGACGCCCCAGGGACCCTGCTTCGCCACCTAAAGCAGCGAGCTGTCCTAGCAGATCCCCACAGTCACTGCCCCAACTGGACGCTTCCCAGGCAGGAGGGCACTGTCCCCCACCCACTCGCTGGCTCCCACAAGCGGTGTGGCCACTGGAGCAGCAGCAGGCTGAGGGAGTCTCTGGGTCTTCTGCTTCTGGCCCCCACTGAGGGACCCCACCAAAATGCCCAGTGGAGTTCGTGCTCCACTGCGCTCACCAGCTCCTGCCTCTGGGCTAGCACAGCCCTCTGGCAGGCTCCCATGGGGAGGGCAGAGGACTCCCATGCACCTGTGGGGGCATCTGCCATGGCAGCCAGGCAGTGCCTCCTCCAGCTAGGACCCAGGGAACCAGCCCTGCTGCCCCCTGCCCTGGAATCCCCCTGACCTACAGCACATCGCTGGACAGAGCTTTCCGAGACATCCCTTGGGAAGCCTTTCAAACGATGGCTGTTGTCCACCCCTCGATACACACACAGCAAATACAGATCTCTGGAGGTCCGGCCTGGGCAGCTGTATTTGTGTTTTTCAAGTTTCCCAGATGATTCAAATGTGCAGCCCAGAAAACCAGGCTTACAGATTCCCCGGGAAAAGAGCCGCCAGATGCTACTGTGGGAATCTCAGAATTCTTAACAATCCTCACCATTAGGAAATGTGCCTCATTCCTTATCTGTCCTCATTTGGGAGGAATGACGACCGAGGGCTGAGGGCTTAGGAACTAAGCTTGCTCAGGGGACTCCTTAGACTCCCGAGGGAGGACGCCTGGGTGAGTCTTGGTCTAAAGCCACAATAACACTTCAGGTGTTAGCAGCCCTCCCATACTGACGCTGGCTCACGTACCTGCAGCGAATTCTAGGATATTCTCTGGTCTTTTCAGAAACATTTCTCTGGAAAACATGAAGGGCAAGGGTAGGAGGGAGAGCAAGCTGTTAGGTTTCTACTTCCACAGAGTTACAGTCTGGGAAACCACCACAGGGGCACAGACCCTGCCCCACAGGCTCATCGACTCAGAGGCGGGAATGCCGCCACCGCTGCCGCTGCTGCCGCCGCGGCCAATACAGGGGCCCATGCTGTCACTGAATGGATTCACCTGAGATGCGCGACCCAGCCTGGGAGTCAACAAGCCCACGGGCTCCCTCGTGATTTTCCTTCAGCTCAGCCTGGGGGCACGGAGTCAAACAGCCCATAGGAACACACAGCTGGGGGTTGTTCGCCCCACAAACGCTGGGCTGCAGTCAGGCTGGGGTTTGCCATTCAACAAACGTTTCCAGACCCAAAGCAAAAAAATCTAGCTCACAGCCATGGAATCAATCCGATTCACAGGGACCCTCTAGGACCCTCTGGGGTAGAACTGCCCTGTGGGTCTCTGAGACTGGCACTCTTCACAGGAAGAGAAAGACCCATGGTTCTCCTGTGGAGCAGTTGGGGGTTTCAAACTGCCAACCTTGGGGTTAGTGAGGAGACCATGTGTAACCACTACCCCACCAGGGCTCTTTAAGCGCCACGACAGGAGTGGTGACCAGTGCTCTGGGCGCTCAGAGAGAGAGTGGCTACAGGGAGCAGCTCCTCAATCTTGAGGGCAGCTGCCCCTGGAAAGCCCCTGGGGGAGATGCCATGCTCACTAAGGTGGTTTCCCAGGGTGAGGCTTATCCATTGCACTCCTGATGTGCTGACCCCTGCGCTTTCCCCAAATGTGGGACACTCGACTGCATCATTTGTGGTGGTGGGGGACTGCGTCTGCGCTCTCCCCTGGGGAAAAAGAAAAAAGCAAAGGCCCTGGAAACAGGCCTGAAGCTTCAGCAGGAAAAGGGCTTGGGGGCCAGAGCCTTCCAGATGCAGGGGAACAGCAAGAGCAAAGGCCCAGACATAGACTGGGAAGTGCCTGCTCAGGCTGTGAAACCCCCCCACCACCACCAAGGAAGGCACTGGGCCCATCCTCCTGGTGTCCCAGGCACAGATGAACCCCCAAGGAGCGAGTCGGAGGAGTGGGAAATGGGTGGGGAGCAGTGCGAGTGAAGGAGGCTGTTTCCAAGGGCTTTGGATGCCAGAGGGAGCCGTTTATGCTCAGTTCGAAGCCAGCAGGAATCTGTAAAGGGCTGCGGCCCAGTGAAATGAGGTGTGTCTGGATAAATTCTTGGGAGACGTGTACCAGTAAAGGCAGCGGCGGCGATGGGAACGGAGGAATGGATAAAGGGTGTGCAGTCACACAAGGAATCTGGTGCTGCCATGGGGGAGCACTTGGCTGCTAACTGAAAGGCTGTGGGGGAGAAAGCGCTGGCCTTCGGCTCCTGTAAAGATGGCAGCCTAAAGCGCAGAGGGGGTCAGTTCTACTCTGCCACATGGGCTGGCTGTGAGTCAGAATGGCCCCCGCCAAGGCGGCTCACCCCCGAGATCTTCCACAGCATTGCACGTGAAAGGTACCCGTGTAAACGCTGGGCAGAAGTCAAGCACAAACGGGTGCCTATGAGTAGAGTGGGATAGAGTGGGGTCCCGTGCACAAGGAGGCGGAAGGAACTGGTGTGATCAGAAGCGGGGATACCAGGTGCGTTGGGGGGGGGTAGTGGTGACTGGAGGGGTGGTGACGGTCTGGGGTGCTGATGATGTTCTCTTTCTTGATCTGCACACGGGTACCCTGCAAATGTTCAGTTTGTGAAGTCACCCAGCTTTACACCTTCGACATGCCCTTTCCTGCCTGCGGATCAGATGCCAGGAGAACGTTCTTTGTGTTTTTTGGGAAGCCACTGGAAGGTTTTTTCCAGACCAAAAATCACATGATGAGTTATGCGCAGAGCAGGCATTTATAAACACGTCTATGGGAGCCTTCTGACAACTCTCGCCTGGCTCAGCTTCCAGCCCGAGTTCCTGGATGCCGAAAGCAAATTGGATCACCAGCCTGCGCGTTTCTCAGTCCAAACTTTCAGAGCCAGCTGAAGAGCTCTGTGTGCCATGCAGGGGAGAACCCTGGGGAGCCGTGGCTGAAGAGCCACAAATCATTAACCGGCAGCCACTGCCCTCCAGTGGGTTCTGCTGATGCAAAGGACCCCCTGGACCTATTCTCACCTGGAAAGGGGTGAAGTGACGAGCTATCTTCTGTAGAGCTGCTGGGAGGGGAGGAAAGGGTGTGCCAAGTTGCCCGGCATTGAGTGGGCTCAGGGACACAAGCAGAACCTGCCAGCGTGGAGCCTTTGGTCTGGTGGGAGAAATCGAGGCCTGACAGTGCAAACAGCCTACAGCGTGTTAACTGCTAAGGACGAGTCCCAAGCCTGCCCACAGCCTTAGGACCCGTTCCTAAACACAGTGACCCTCCAAGGCCCAGAAATGCTCCCCATGCTTCCTAAAGAGCTAAATCTTTATGAGGTCAGATTGTCTTATGTTTCTCCCTTAGAGGGCATGGTGGGGTTGAACTGTCAATCTTGCGGTTAGCAACCCAATGCTTAACCCAAAGCACCACTAGGGATCCTGGGGGACCTACACCATACCTGGAAACAGAAACCAATCATTATTTAAATTTTACCTATGTGTCCCTAACTCACTGCCGATCCTGACTCAAAGCGACTGTAGTAGTTACATAATCTGGTGTCAACTTGAAACTATTAAGAGTGCAAAGGTAGTCTAGCCTGTCAATCAGGTCACAGACTGATGACCTCATTTGGAGGCACTACAGAGATAAATAGCTCACTGGAGGTTAGACACACACTCTCTGCTACACATTCCTGTTGACAAGTCTCGTGGAACTACACTGGAGCCAGAGCCCTGGAGCTGGAGGAGCCATGTAGAGACCCCTGCCAGTGCTGAGATGCTTCCACCGCTAGATCCACAAGACTTTCCACCCCCTGGCCTGTGATCTTCCTGCATTCGGCATCATTGGATGTGTTGTGTGAGTCTGAATAAGAATTCATAGACTGGTATCAGACATATGGGCTAACTTCAGACTCATGGACTTGATCTGGACTGGGCTGGTAGGTTTTCTCAATATACAGTTGCTCTTTTATATAAAGTTCTTTCTTATACATATACGAGTGGGTTCCTGGATTTGTTTCTCTAGTGTACCCGGACTAGCACAGCAACTCTATGGAACGGTAGAATGGCCCCTGTGGGTTTCTGAAACCCTAACTCATTCCAGCAGTCAAAAGCCTCAACTCTCTCCCGAGGAGTGGTTTTGAACTGCTGATCGTGTAGTTAGGGACCCTACTCGTAACCACTCTGCCACCAGATCCATAGCCAAAGTGTATCTGAGACAACTCTCTACGGTTTCATCCATCGCAGTGCCAGGACTTCCTAACCCCTCCCCCCTCACTGCATTCCTTTCAGCCTATTCGGAGAGTTGTCCATTCAAGCAAATGTCAGCAGAAGGTTGTGTGTGTGTGTGTGTGTGTGTAGCATATTCTAGACATGGTGGAAAGTGGTTGTGGCAGTCAGATTTTGTCAATTTGCACTTGTGTAAGAATGGAGTCCAATCTGTCCATCAAGCCCCACCCTGAGGTGTGGCCTTTTTATGAGGCACTTAGGACTTGGACTCTCGCTCTCTCTCTGCCCCTTTGCCTTCCTGCTTGCTGAGACGCTGCCTGCCTCCAGGGACAGCCCTGGGTGGGCTGCCCTACTCTTGGCTTCACCTTTCAGCCTTCAATGATGTGAGTCTAAGGAGGGATCCAGCTACCATCAGACCTGTGCACTTTAGCTGGACGGGCTGGGGTGCATTCTGGAAATTAAGCTGCTTCTTGATATAAAGGTCCTTCTTATACCTCTATGAGTGTCACTGGTTCTATTTCTCTAGATGGCCTGGCCCAACACAGTGGTCTTCGTCCCTCAATATTTGCTGGGAGGAGGATTCCAACCCTGGAGTCTTTGGACAATGGGCAGGACCAGGCATTTCTCGTCTGAATTTCTTTGTAAAACTCTGGAAGAGCCCTGCTGGTGTTGGGGGCTACACACACACTGAGCTGATGACCGCAACCTCCCTGCTGGCAGCAAACCCACCAGTCACTCCACAAGAGGCGAGGCAGTCAACTCTCGGATGGAGTTGAAAGTCTTGGAGCCCCAAAGGGCAGTTCTACCCTGTCCCATGGCATCACTGAGTTGGAATCACCTTGATGGCGGTCAGTTTTCTTGTTAGTTAGTGACACTGTTGGGGAGACCTAGTGGCGCAGTAGGTGATGTGTCGGCTGCTAACTGTACAGGAGGAGGTTTCCATGCACCAGATGAGGCTTTCTGCCCAGTAACCATCACTGGCCTCTCCTTCTGGGGAGACCCTCTGCTCCGCCCCACATGGGCGTGGAAGGTCAGCATTGGTCTAGTTAGTGAGCCTGTGATGCTCCAGGTGAGAGCAGTGTTGTTCACCTCCGTGCTTCTTGACGTCTTATTTCCTCTTATGCGTGCCATAGGTATAAATTGAGGCTTGGCATTAAAATGAGAGACGATGAATTTTCAGAAATTTAGAGATAACTGAAGGAAACCTCATAGAGATAAACAAAGAAAACCCTGGGTACTTCGAACTAGGGGGCTGGGGGGGGCGGAACACTGCGATTTTCTAACTTTGATAACTTTAAAGGAAGCAGAGGGCGTGTTTATGTAAATAGAGCAGGGGGTCGGTCACCCAGCTATCTCCCAACAAATTTGGGTAAAAGGGCCCTTGGTTGCCAAAGGCAAGTCTGGAAAGCCAGGTACCCACCTGAAGAACCCCGCGACGAGCAGCTCCACCTCTTTATGGGTCCTCAGGTATTTCTCGTTAGCGATCCGAGTCTGGATCTAGGAGCAAGAAAAAACCACTCTCCGTCGGGGCGGATTCCCGAGGCTCGGGCCCTGGAGGGGCGGCGGGCTGAGGAGAAAGCATCGCCTTCCGGCCTCCCCCGGCCCCCGATCCTGGGCATTTGAAGCCCCATCTCCTTATCAGCATCGCCGCGCTCCCCCTCCGCGCGCGCGGGCGGGCACTTCCAGGTGGGCCCCCAGCCATCGCGAAGGGTTCCCACTGTAACTCACTTCGGCGCCGGGAGGGCAGCGCGGTCCAGATCCTCGGCGGGACTGCTCGGCGTTAGGCGCCTGCCAGGGTCCCACCGGGGTCCTCCTCCGTCGCGCCGCCCCTGGACCTGGGCGCAGGCTTCCGCCCCCTCCTCGAGGGGTCCCTCCCCTCCCCCCGGGGCCTCTGACCCTCGAAGCTGCCCACGGAGGGGACGGCGAGCAGCACCCACCTTGAAGTGGCGCAGCTGCTCCAGCTGCGCGGGACTGAGCACCCCCACGTCAAACGCCAGCGGCCGGCTCGCCGGCGACGCCATCTCGACGCGGTCGTCAAGGCGACGCGACGCGCGGCCAGCGAGGCCCCGCCCCGCCCGGAAGCGGGGAGCAGAGGTGCGGGTTCCTCTGGAGGCCCCAAGTCGTCTCTGGAGGGTCTCCCCGGGCGCTGCTGCCCCGGCTGCGAGCAGGAGGCGTGAGCGAGCGAGGGTCCTTAGTTATTGGGGTGCAATCGCTGCCTGAGAGACTCGAGGCCATCGCGCTGTGGTCCAGATGAGGCAAGAAATGACTGGCTCTCAGCCTCAGGATGTGGGCCCACGAGAGTTCATCTCACCGTCCTTTGGACGTGGGCCACACGTACTGACACTGCTTGTCTGTGGAACGAACCCTTCTTCTTGAACCCTCCCAACTCGTTTTGAGTTTGTTTGTTTATTTTTTAGCCCTAGAGTAAAACTGGAAGAGGTTTGCAGAATCTGGCTCCTGACCCTCCCATTTGGGTGGACGCTGGAGGAAGCCAGTACTGGGGAAGGAGCCGCCCAATACCATCTGCCGGGTGGACACGGGGACACGCACGCTGCGTGAGAACAGCCTGGGGGCAGGGGGATCGGGAACGGAGTTCTGCAAACTCAGAACTCAATAACGTTCTGTGGACGCCGACTCATAGCAGCCCTATCGCGAGAGTAGACCTGCCTCTGAGTTTCCAAGAGGCTGGTGGTTTCCAACTGCTGACCTGAAGGTGAGCAGACAAAGTATAATCACAAGGCCACCAGGGTTCCTATGAGTTCTGCGAAGAAAGGGGCATCTGCAGCCTACCGGTGCTGGACCGGAGCTGGTGGACATGCTGCCAGAAGTTTCCCCTTTTGGACTGAGTTTCCGAGGAGATTTATTTTATCTTCACACTGGGCACCTCTTAAATTCTGTACTTCTCCCACTCCGCGGGAATCGGGGAGGAGGATGGGAGTTGGTCCTCAAGATTTGTTCTTCTGATATCTAATGAAGAAGAGGGAGACTCAAAGCCAGGAGCCGAAAATAGCTGCCCGAGGCAGGACCGGAGCCTGTCTGTCCATATAAGTCCTCACAGGAGGAGGGAAAAGGTAGTCCAAAAGGGATGGCAAGGAGATAGCCGCAGGGGACACAAGCTCAGCAGTCAGCATCTGTCTTTATCCTTCCAGCAAGGAGGGGGG